TTCCATTAACTTATACAGCGTTCGAACTTTCGAACAATGATGATGTTGAAGAGATGGTTGAATCTCAAAGTAATTATTCAGACGCTGATATTAAGATGTATGTAAATTTTGTTAAAGTGCGTGCTGCTCGAGGTTAGTCATTAAGCTCCCACTATGAGCTGGCTGAACAAGTTGATCAAGTTGACAGCCCGACGACAGTAATGTGTAATGATTTTAATGTCATAATGGGGAGACATTCATCCGTAACTCCTTGCGATATGTACCGAGGTGGGTCAACGAACAATCCGTATGGCAACATCGCCTGCAGTTCAAAGGGAAGGCATTCATCTGCAAATCCCTTTGACCTTAATATGGAGATGCCATCGACGTAACAATCTGTGCACTATCCATTTGACATGATGGGTTCAAGCTCCAGGGGGAGGCATTCGACTGCGAGCTTTTTCGATCTCAATGTCGATATGCCTTCCAGTTTAAGGGGAAGACGTGCAAGTAGTAGATTCTTCGACCTAAATGTGGATAGCATGGAGGAATCATCATCTCCACCAGAAGAAACGCTTCGTGAGCCTGGTGTGGATGGTGCTGAGACTGGAATATTCATTCACCCAGAATCACCGCAATTCAACTCCGATGATGATGATGTAGATGAAGTTCCAGGAAATGTGGCACAAACTGACCCTCCTGCACACATGTATGAAGCTGATTATGGTGCAATGTATAGACCAGAATTTGCGGATATGTCTCATCTCGGTGACTATGGATATTACTCATTAATAAATAATGGTGAGTTATCATTAGGCGTGGAGTTTTCAAGCAAAGAATAAGCGATGATGGCTATCAAAAATTACAATATCCTTAATTTTGTTCAGTCCAGAGTCGACCATTCCACGACCGAAAAATATGTATGCTACTGTGATCGACGCGAAAACGGATGCAATTGGATGGTTCGCGTATCGAAGAGGAAGAGGAAAAACAACAGATGAGAACTAACAATATACAACGGTCCTCACACATGTTGTGTTGGAAGGGACAACCAAGATCATCCCAACTTGGACTCTGAAGTGATATGCCAAACCATCATGCGCATGGTAAAAGCAAGCTCTCATATAGTTGTTGCAGTGTTGATTTCAACTATACAATTGTAGTATGGGTACATTGTCTCCTACAAAAAAAACTTGGTTGGCAAAACAAAATGCCATTGTCAAGCTTCATGGCGAATGAGATGCATCTTACAACGAACTTCCAGGTTGGTTTAGGCTGGTGCGGACGTTGAATCCTGGACAATTGTGGACTTTGAAACCTCGTATGCATACCATAATGATCGAGTTCTACGCGATCGTTGCTAATTCTACCGGGTTTTTTGGACTTATCATTTGGTTATCTGGTTATCATTACCATATCGCAATGAATTCGATTGGATTTTGGACGACCACGCTCCCTCAATAAACTCGGATTTGATATACACTAGATGAGGATATGATGTAGTTGTTTATCAAATAATAATTCTTGTACTTTAATTTGCATTTACTTAAAGTTAATGTCATTCGATAATCGCTGATGAACAGTAAAAAAACGATACAAGAAAACGAGATTGAACGTTGGCGTTATATGTGATTATAATAAAAGATATAATAAGTAACAAACTGAAGAAAGTTTGAGAACACAATTATTAAATTTTATCAAACTAATAATGATTTGGTATTTGAACATAATTTTAAATACAACAAACTTACAAAAAATATTAAATGGTAAATGATAACCAAATAACAATAACTGATTTTAAATGGTAATAAACAAAATTAACCAAAATACATTAACAAAACTGTATAACAAATTTAACAAAATAAATTAAAATAAATCCAACCACATTAACGAAAAAAAAGTAAGTATTAAATGATAAATAATTAAAAAATTACAATAAAAAATCCAATAACCAACTAAATACAAATATAATAAAAAAAATCTATCGATGCCTGCGACGCGAATGTGTTCCGCAAGACGGTGGCTGTCGGTCTCGAGGAGGATTTCTTCGTATCACTGGTTGTGACTCCTCGCTGTCATCATCATCACCATCATCATCGTCGTCGTCGTCTTGAGTAGCTACATTTTGTTGAGGAGGAGCTAATGACGATGAAGCATCTCCATATAATAAGGACATTGGAGGTGTATGACTGACTATCCCACCGGCCTGCGAAAACTGGGAAAACTCATAAAACCCAGACATCGCCGAGTGTGAAAACTGTACAGGAGGTGTCTGAGCTGCGGCCATATGTGATGAGGCTACACCCGCTAAATATCCAGTACATGAACCTCAAGTAAGATCTGCAAACATAGACCCATAATATCCTCCAGGAGGGGTCATATAACTCTGTGACGGCGGCGGCGGCGGGGTCATAAAACCAGGTGATGGTGGCGGCGGCGGCATCGGGTAAGGGAATAGCGGTGGCAGGATCATATATGGATGTGGTATGTAAGTCGTTGGAGACGGTGGCTGCTGTGAAGGTCCTGATGGTGCAGCTGATGACGAACCGGAAACACCTGCTCTCCATCCACGAGTCGGGGGACGATGGTGCTGTGTCGGTGAACGTCTCTGTCGACGTCGCTGAAAGGTCCGCCCTCGTGCATCCTCGGGAACCAGAAACATTTTCTCGTTACTGTTGAATCAGTCATAATAACCGTCAACAACCATCAAGAGGTCATAAAAATGGGCTCTCTACAGGGAAGGCGTCGATGTCGATCCTCCCACAACACGACCCACTCATGATGCCTTACCAGCAAATCTGTATATGTCTTGCCGCGCCGATCTGTGCTATGCAACTCGTCCATATTGCGAGGTGCTTCCAGAATTGGTTGAAAACAACCAAATTGTCGGAGCACGCGATTAGTGGAGTGCCACTCGACGATCGCATAACAGATCAAAGGGATCATCGCCATCCAAACATCTGATGGGCCCCTTAACTCAGGTGGGATCACAATTCCCACATCATCATTAGAATATGACACATATTCAAACTAAAACAAATATATATAAACATTAAAATGCATACCTGTGTGTCAACCTTCTGATCGATTAACACCCTAATTTTTTCTAAATCATCAGGTAGATCATGATGATTTTCCTATCAGTAGACCACTTATTCAAGGAAATAAATTATTATACACTGTATAAAATGATTAATATACGAAATCAGTTTTATAATTACCTCAATAGTAGTGGAAATACGAATGGGTTCTTGACAACGGGACATAAAAAGGACAATCGATACCATGTCCAAGACTGCAGCAGAAGGAGACATCCGCCGATAGTATTTTTTCTGTAGTCAGTCGCTCGACACATCTCCCTATACAGGAAAGCCAAAACTGTCGAGCCCCAACTGAGTGATCCGGCCAGATAAAAGTCGCCAAGATGTTGCAACCATATACAGTGAACTTGGTTGCGCGATTTGTCTGGCATCAACAACCCTCCTATCAGCTGCAGTATGCATGCTAGTGCATACATTTTAACTTCATCATCAGAGGCGTCTACGCTCAACTCCCGAAAATTGACATCTAACCAATTTAACGATATCCGACTACCGTTAAAATTTTTCGGGACACGTCTTAGACTAACCAGGCACAAAGTAGTCCAAGAACCGGAAGATATCCCTGACATCACACCTCCATCCACCGGAAGCCCCAGGTGCATAGAAACATCCTCAAGTGTAATCGTGCACTCTCCGCACGGAAGATGGAATGTGTGGGTTTCCGGCCTCCACCGCTCCACTAAGGCAGCAATAAGGTCTGGTTCTATCTTACAGTGACCCTCATATCTACCTATGTGACCGAATTCAGCCTCTACTAAATACGGCATGACACGACCAGGTATCACTAACTTAAGGTTCCTAATAAAAGGATCTAATATACGGTCTCTCTCCTAAAATATAAATAATTACAAAAATTAATTTTTAAACTAATAATCATGCATTAAATAAATAAATAAATTATTACTAATAATTAAAATTAAATTAAAACGTTAAAATGTTACCATATCAACAAAATGTCGAGATATATGATTTTCATCCAAGCGAAGTAGACCGCCTTCCATTTTATATCTGCAAAAAAAATTAATTAAATACAATATTAAATAATTTAAATACTTAAATAAATTAAATAAAAAAATATTAAATATAATAAAAATACCTTAAACAGAGAATATAAAAGTATTTGAGAGAGGTTGAGAGAAGTTGAGAGGGTTTGGTGTGATGGAAGTGATTGAGGATGGGGATATTTATAGGGAGGGATGGGGGTGTGAACGGTCGGGGCAGGTACGTAATTAAACCTAACACGCGCCGTAGGGGGCACGCCTTTTTGACGTGTGTCAGATTTGCAGGTAAGACGCGACCCCTGCACCGCGCTTTACACACGTGTATCACAGTTAGCATGAGGCGCACGCCTTACCCCACGTGGCGCTAGATCAACGTAAAGCGCGCTGTAGGGGGCGCACCTTACTGTAAAGGATGTTAGATCAAAAAAAATAGTCTGAAGAATACATGACAGAAAAAATTAAATGGAAAAAGTGATATATCAGGAAAAACTCCGTCGCTTACGGTGTGTAGGAGGTTCGAACACTCATTATGTTTGCAGGTAATATCAGCTAAGCTCAAATTCGCGGATCTATTGGTTCGCAGATAGTAACAATATAAATCAATTTCAGTGAATTTCATTTTTTTTTAGAAGTTTCTTTATAAGTTCTTCATGTTGTTCATTGAGATTAAATTTCATTAGACAATGGTTAAAACATTGAAGTGGTTCATGACATTCAACTTTCAGCATTTAAAGCGGCAAATTGTGGAAGTCTTCGGTGAAAACATTGAAGTGGTCAGTCAAGTATATGGAAAATGCAAGGCCTCTCGAAATAAACATTCGCATCAACTCCTTTCTTTCGTTGCCTTGAAAAGTCTCCTCCCCCTCTCTTATATCATCCATTATTTCTATGTTTTTGCTTGGAAAATAATCCGGGAACAATGGATTTTGCAACTTCAACTACGTTTCTATTTTTCCTATTGTTGCTTCCGTTCTCAGCTGTTGCTCAAACCGACGATGGAAGGAACGATGTGGGATCATCGCTTACTGCAACCAACGACGGCGGCTCTCCTTGGCTTTCACCGTCGGGGGATTTTGCATTTGGTTTTCATCCGCATGCCGGCCTTTTCTTGGTTTCCATCTGGTTTGATAAGGTACCTAATAAAACCCTTGTCTGGTATGCATTCGAAAACGGTAGCCCTATTCTTGCACATGCGGGATCAAAGATAGAGCTAACTGCTGAAAACGGGTTGGTGTTACTCAATCCTAGAGGAGATCAGTTATGGAAATCTGATATAGCCACGGATGAAGCTTCCTATTGTGTTATGAATGATACCGGAAATTTCGTGGTACGCAGTCGAAACTCCGACGTGTTGTGGCAGAGCTTCGACCACCCTACTGATACCTTGCTGCCGACTCAGATACTGGGAATCAATGGGAAGCTGTTTTCTCGACAGAATGAGAACAACTTTTCACAAGGAAGGTTCCAGCTGAGTTTACAGACTGATGGGAATCTTGTGCTCAGCATGGTAAATTTGCCTACTAAATTGGTTTACGAAGGTCCGTTTTATACTAGTGATACTAACGATGCTGCAAATGAATCCAACTCCGGTTTTCAATTGATATTCAATGGATCAGGCGATGTGTATGTGTTGAGAAGGAACCGCCGGACATCCTATGTCAGAACAGGGGTGAGGGTGGCACTTCCGACAGCTGATTTCTATCAGAGGATGACTCTCGATTTCGATGGCGTTTTCGCGCAATATTATTATCCGAAGCGAAGCACCAGCGTCGAAAACTGGACTACCGTTTGGTCTAAACCAGATAATATTTGTAATCGTATGGGAGATCGGGGCAGCGGCGCTTGTGGATTCAACAGCATCTGCAGACTGAATGAGAATGGTAGACCAACTTGTAGATGTCCACCGGGATTTTCTTTACTTGATCCGGAAGATAAGTATGGAAGCTGCAAACCTGAGGTCGAGTTAGACTGTCGAGAAGATGAACGAATTCCCATGGAAGATCTGTACGGTATCACGGTGATTTTAAACACCGATTGGCCAGGATTAATAAATGACTACGAAAAGCTCCATCCTTACAACGAGCAGGATTGCGAAACAGCCTGTTTGCGTGACTGCATGTGTGCTGCTGCCATTTGGAAAGACGATAACTGCTGGAAAAAGAAACTGCCGCTCACAAACGGAAGGGTCGACGATCGCTTTACCGGCAAGGCATTAATCAAAATCACCAAAGGTGATCGTACTCGCCGCCCATCCCTTAATCTTCCAAATGCTGATGAAGTCAAGAACAAAGGCACTTTGATCGCCGTATCAACACTCTTAGGTACCTCTATGTTCTTAAACTTCGCCTTGGTTGGAGCATTTTGCCTTGGGTTTTTCTCCATTTACAAGAAAAAGTTGTCCAAAGTTCAGGAAATTGGATTGGAGCTGAATAATTTGCAGGTTTTCACCTACAAACAACTAGCAGAAGCTACAAATGGTTTCAGGGAAGAGCTTGGAAGAGGAGCCTTTGGCATTGTTTACAAAGGAAAAATAGAGATGCGAACTGTTGCAGTGAAGAAATTAGATAGATTGGTTCGAGATGAAAATTTGGACAAAGAATTCAAAACCGAGATCAATATCATCGGACAGACACATCATAAAAACTTGGTCCGGTTACTAGGATTTTGCCAAGAGAAAGAACAGCGTTTACTAGTGTACGAGTACCTAAGCAATGGCACTTTAGCCGATTATCTTTTCAAAAACACAAAGCCTAGTTGGAATCAAAGGACCCAAATAGCCAAATCAATCGCCAGCGGACTCCTATACCTACATGAAGAATGCAGCAAACAGATCATCCACTGCGATATAAAGCCTCAAAACATTCTCCTCGACGACAACTACGATGCTCGGATATCCGACTTCGGGTTGTCGAAGCTCTTAATGATGAATCAAACACAAACTAAAACCGACATCAGAGGGACGAAAGGGTACGTTGCCCCTGAATGGTTCAGGAACATGCCGGTAACAGCCAAGGTCGACGTCTATAGCTTCGGTGTATTACTACTAGAGATCATTTGTTGTCGGAGAAGTGTCGGCGTCGAGGAGAATGCAGCGGATTTCGATGGAGATAGCAGCGTATTGACTTACTGGGCTTATGACTGCTTCCATGGAGGAACAATAGATGCGTTGGTTGGGGACGACATGGAAGCCATTAATGATAGAACGAGCTTGGAGAGGTTCTTGATGACTGCGTTATGGTGCATTCAAGAGGACCCTTATCTGAGACCTACCATGAAGAAGGTGACGCAGATGCTTGGAGGAGTTGTCCAAGTAACTGTTCCTCCAGACCCATCTCCATTTACCACTGCTGCTGAAAGTTCCTCCTTAAATATCTCTTGTATTTAGTTCTCTTAACATTTATTGCTAACAAATAAAAATTTAGGTTATCAAAATGTTTTCAAAGTTTATAAGATATTATCAAAATTTATGAAATATATATTTAAAATGTTATAATATTGAATTCATACTCGTCCTAAAAGATGTGGAAGTCCTTTGTTACTTTTTAAAATGTGACTCTTAATATATTTTATGGTAAAATGAAATTATAAAATATCAAAATTTATCATATTATGATAGTTTTTTTACAAAATACAAAAAATTCAAACATATGAATTTAAGTTTTCTTCACTGAATTTTCTTCATGTGTGCCTACAGTAGGAAAAATAATTATTTTTGTATTAGCATATTTTTTCAAAGTACGAGACCTCCAATTTTTGAGGTTATGTGAAGTGTCACAAGTTACACTTGATAATGGACAAGCCTGATTGAATTTATTGAATGACCTCGATGGTTAAAAGAAATATTGTTCTCACTTGAAGTCCTGAGTTTAAACAACTGTGTTTGTAGGATGTGTTGTCAAAGACTAAGACATATTATAATATTATAACAATAAAGTTAAAAAAATACTTATAATATATATTTTTCAATATCATTTTAAATAGTATACCATTTATTTTTACCTCAAATCAAGTTTTTTCACCTTGGAAATACCTCCCTCATTTATAGGTGAAATCCTAAATCAAATATCCAGGGGAAAGAAACAATAATAGTTTGGAGTAAATTATACAGGAGATCTCCAAATTATAACTTTATTTTAAATTAATTTTTAAACTTCAAAATATTTTATTATCAGTCCTCAAGTTATATTCCATTCTAAATTGGTCTCTATATTTTAAAAGATTCTATATAAGCCCTTTAACTATCACTATCATTCCACTTTAATTCTATTGTTAATGTGTAATTGATTCTACTAGGTTTTTATGATCTTGGATATTGAATTTGTGATAATCTAAAAAATTAATATGTTTTTTAAGAGCCTGAGAAATTTTTAGGAGGTCGCGGGTTTAATTCTTGAGACCTTAAAATATACATCATTTTTTAATCAGTAATGTTAACATGTTAATGGACAAGTCAAAATGGAATGCTATTAATAATTTAATGATTGATAACGTTTAAAATTTAGATATCAATTTAAAACATAATCATTATTTGAAAACTATTATACAACATTTTAAGATTTAATGATCAATTTAGAATATGATTATAATTTAGGGACATTATCTCTAGAATATTCAGGTTTTAAATATTATTAATTATTGTAATATATATTAATATTTTTTAATAATTTATGAAGATTACAAGATAATATTTGTTCATAATCTTTTTTAATTATTAATAATACATGTGCCTACAAACATAATTACTCAAACTTAAAATTTCAAAAAAAAAAATAACATTTACTTTAGTCCTTCATATCATTTAACGGTCAATGATAATGATCAGGATTAATGTGAACTTTATAGAATAAAAATTTACGATGAATGAGTCTAACTCTATGAATTATGTACGTCAACATGTACTAAAATCAAAGTCATTTATTTTATTGGAATAAGTGGCGTGCTTAAGACGATGGAAAGGACGGGACAGGAACCATAGGAAGAAAAATAGGCATGTAAATGAACTGAACGTTCAGTGAACCGATCATGAATCGTGCGGCGGGAAGTTCGTTTATGTGCATTTATTTATTAAATGAACGAACATGAACAAGATTTTTTGTTCGTTTAATTAAATGAATGAACATGAACATAGGTCTCGTTCGTTCATTTACGTTCGTGAACGTTCGGTTATGTTCGTTCGGTTATGTTCGTTTATGTTCGTTCGATTATGTTCGTTTATGTTCATTCATTTATGTTTAACCTAATCTTCTTAAATCAATTTTGGTGACCAATTTGTAAGTATCTTAAAAATATTAATTAATATGATATTTTGATGACCAACTCCATAATTAATCCAATTTTATTTGGAGATTAAATCCAATATGTTAACTTGTGAGGCACCTCGCACCTATATTCATTTTCCCCTTTTTTTCCCAAACCCTAGTGTTCATTAGAGAGTGGAGACGATCACTGAAAGCTTCAAAACAAGTTATATTATAGTGCAATATGAAGTTTTACATGTTTGTTTTCATCTCTTTCTCTGTTTTATTTGGCTTAATAGTTGATATGTAAAGTTATTGCAGGTATCTTCACATCTAAAACTCAAGAAAACATCATACTTCTTTCTAGAAATAGATGGGAATATAAAGGTAACAATCGGAAGTATACGAGCATCAGTAAAGAGAAAAATATATAGAATTTACCAGAAAACAAAACAAAGGTTTCTATGCAATTTCTGAAAAAGAGTGTAATAGGAGAAAATGATTGTTCATATGTAATCATGGACCACTAAGATAAATGTTATAGCGTTAAATTAAAGTTGTGTGAATCATTTAATATCTTTAAAAGATCGATCGAAATCTTTGATATCTTCAAACATTTCATCACTGCTAATCAACTCTTACGCTATTTATCACTGTAGATTTGGTTGATTTGCATTGTCGACTATTTTTCATGAAAGAACAATGGAAGGTAGGGTCTCCAACGTTTATGTTCGTTTATGTTCGTGTTCATTTATGTTCGTGTTCGTTTATGTTCGTGTTCGTTTATGTTCGTTTATTTATTAAATGAACGAACATGAACAAATTATATTCCTTAATAAACAAACATGAACAAAAAAATTTTTGTTCGTTTATGTTCGTCTATTTATTAAATGAACGAACATGAACATACCTCCGTTCGTGTGCGTTCGGTTCGTTTACAGGCCTAAAGAAAAATCTTGTGAACCATTTCTAATTAATATTTGGGTAAACTACAAATCTAGTATCTCAATTATTATCTTTATTATGTTTTAATTATCTAATTATTTTTTTAAAAAGTATAACTAAATCTATGTTTTGATTTCATTTTGATCACTGATTGTTTAAAAATTAAAAAAATATTGATGTGGTATTTTTTAATTTTTTCAGTGATAACATGCTATTATCTTATTGTGACATGTCAGTATTACTTTAACTTTTTAACAGATGATGATCAAAATGAAACCAAAACTAAATATTAGATATAATTTTTAAAAATATAATTAAGTGATCAAAACACAATAAAAATGATAATTAAGATACTAAATATGTAGTTTACCCTTAACATTTATAAAAGAAAAAAAAATATTGGAACACTGATAGTCGTAGTCAAAAAGATCTATTTTTATACCGCATTTTGTTTAGTTTCTTCGAAATTCTTGCATGGATTTGACATTGCTTGCTTAAAATGGGTTGGTGTTACTTAATCGTAGAAGAGAACAGTTACGGAAATCAAGGGGAAGCTGTTGTCATTGGGTGAGTCCACCAATAAAAAAAATTGCCTATTCGACCAGGTTCTCAAGGGACAATAATAAAATAAAAGTCAAGTCTTGATGTTTTCCACTCTGTTCCTACTACTACCTACGCCAATTTATTAAAATAGCAACAATGGGGACTCAGATCTCCTTATAACACCTTTGTATTGTTGAAAGTCAATTTTGGTGCTCTGCACATAGCTAATTCGGCGGCTTTAGGTGGAATTAAATGGATGGCAATTGTTGAATTTTTCAACAATGGTAAAATTGTAATTTTAGTCATTGTAATTTTAGTCATTGTAATTTAGAGTATTTACAAATTAGTCATTAAGCTTTAACTATAAATACCCTAGCTCATTTAACTTCAAAGCAATCTCAAAGCATTCTAGCTTTCTTCCAATACTAGAGAGAATTTAGAGAGTTTCTTGAGAGTTCTTTTCTCCTTTTTATCAAGAGAGAATTATCATTGTTTTCTCCTTGGTAGATCGAGAGAAGTTGTAATTCATATTTTCTCATAGTGAAATTCTTCTACTGTTGCCTGTGGTTTTTACCCTATATTATTTAGGGGTTTTTCCACGTAAATTTTGTGTCTCTTTTATCTTCATTTTTATTTTCTCAAATTATCAGTTGTGATTTTGCTCTATCCGATAGCCGTCTTCCGCAACAATTGATATCCGAGCCAGATTTGAGTGTGTAATATCTGCTTATTGTCTTTGTGGTTGCCACCAAAAGGTGGATCCTCCAACATAAGAAAGTAAGAAGGTATTACCCATTCTTTGAAGGTTCTAGAGAACTATTCACGATAGTGAAATAGTGGGAGCTATCCGTAAAAGAAGCTATGGCAACGAAATTTGATATTGAAAAATTCAATGGGAGAAATTTCTCATTGTGGAAATTGAAGATGAAGGTCATCCTAAGGAAAAACGGTTGTCTAGCACCTATCAGTGAAAGGTCGGTGGATTTCACAGATGACAACAAATGGATCGAAATGGACGGAAATGCTATGGCAAACTTTCATCTAGCATTAGCAGATGAAGTATTGTCAAGCATCGAGGAGAATAAGACAACTAAGGAGATATGAGATCATCTCACCAAATTGTACGAGGCCATAAAATTTTCCTTAGAGGAAATTGTACACTCTCCGGATGCCATAATCTACTTCAGTGACGGAACACTTAAACACGTTGAACACTTTATTTTCTCAGCTTACATCCTCAAGCTGTAAAATAGTAGAACAAGAACGTGATAAACTTCTACTTCAAAGTCTACCGGATTCGTATGATCAACTCATCATCAACTTGACAAATAGTAATGTCACCAGTCTAGTCTTCGATGACGTTGCAGCTGCTGTTCTACAAGAAGAAAATCGGCGCAAGAACAAGAAAGACAGACAAGTAAATCTACAACAAGCAGAAGCGTTGACAACGATGAGAGGGAGATCAACAGAACGTGGCCAAAGCAGCAGTCACAAACATGGTAGATCAAAGTCGAGAAGCAAGAAGAATTTAAAGTGCTACAACTATGGAAAAAAGGGTCACTTGAAGAAGGATTGTTGGAGTCTCAATAAAAACTCCAATCCACAAGGCAATATCGCAAACACTTCAGATGATGGAGATGCTCTATGATGTGAAGCGTCA